ATCCCTTTTGCTTATGTGTTGGCACCACTTACCTCAACAAGATACTGACACAATTCAAGCCAGCGAACCTTTGCGTCTATCGATCGCCACCGTCCACACGTCGATGGCATGTCACAGCTACAGCTGGAGCTACACTTGCACCACTGGCCTTAGCAGCATCGGCTCATTGTAGGCGGAGTGAGTGCATGCCTGCAGCGTAAGTTTGTAGCAATCCAAAACTTAAAACAGATTTCGCTCCACGTCCAAGAACCATGGATGTGCCGATGCAAAGAATTAAAAAATAAATAAATAAATAAACAGAGATCTCGATTAAAATACGATAATCAAGGTTTCTTAAAAATTTAAAGAAATAAGTTCAAGAAATAACTACAAGCATTGAGAGATAACTAAAAAACATGAAAGAACGCAAACCCCTTTAAATAGTATCACGGCCACAACATTCTATAATTAACTCAAATAAAAGCAAGTTTTGAGACTCAAATAGTATCACTAACACAAGTATCATATTTCCATATTCCTCAAGTTCTAACCGACTATTTTCAACTTCTTTTCTAAAGATACTATATTTTGTATCAGAAGCTTTTCGCGGATATCATGCTTCTGGATATTTAAATCGCCTAGATTATTATTTGCCTTGTCTTTCTTCTTTTTCTCTATCTTCTCTTTCCTTTTCTTTTTCTTCTCCATAAGCTTCTTTTCTCTTTTCTTATATGATAATCAAATGAAGGGTTAACATTAAAAAACATGATTTGGAGTATTTACACGAATAAAAATAAAAACGTAATAGGACTTATACACACTTCAAGCAATAGTATACATAAACATTACTAATTTGTTGCATAATAGTATAATACTGAGACAAATAATGCACAATGCATGGTAAAATGAATGGCAGTTGGTTGAAATAAATAAGTTGCATCACCAATACACTTAACCATACCTATCAAGATTTTTCGTTCAAGACCATATGCAAAATTAAGGAACTAATGTGTGCTTTATAAACCAAATACGCAGTATTCGTACCATTAAAATTAGGAAATTGAATGGCCCCGCAAGCTTTACGACAGATTTTCCAGCCACGACAACCTAGGAAAGCATCCAATAACATACTCAGTAAAAATGATTGAGTATAATCATGTTTGTTAAAATTCAAAGCTGTAACCGAGTGGAGAGCACATAAACTCAAGACTGAAAAAACAAAACTCGAGCCCATTCCCACATATGTGAGCATGACACACCAAAATTACACATCATTGAAAGTCACAAGTACCTCGGGCGAGTTGTTTAGCACCTGTGATGATAACAACCATTTCCTTGCATAGTAGATCCTCTTACAAACCCGCTCCATACTACTGATGAGGCCATGCACCTACAAAAATCATCAGCTCAAGAAAATTCAACAACTATCGTTTCTCAACTTCATAATTTTCATAAAAGTAAATAAATAAAATAAAAATAAATATAACAAACTAACCTTGAATAACTTCCTCGCACTTCTCCTAGCATCCTGTTAGGTGCCCTAGCACAATTAGTATCCGTGCATGAAATATCAGAGTAGGCCAGAAAATAAGTGTAAGTAATCAACCAATATTGACGGCTCACCTAAAATAAATGAGACAGACATACCTTCATATAGACGTGTACACTCTGTTCTTGTTGTTTATGGGCATCAGCTTTACGCAATTCATGAACCATTCGCCATTAACAATGATATACTACCAAAAGAACTATACATGTATGTGGTCTGAGCCAACTGCACCTTAAAGAAACCTAATATCATTCAAAGTTCATAAAATAAACCATACACGCACAAAACATACACACAAGGACATACTTAGCTTTGTTAAGCTGCAAAAGATATTGGGCCCACATAGAAAGATATCCATTGTAGCTCGCGATAGGGCAGCATCTCTCAGCCTCCCTATTATACGTACACCCAGAAAATTGGGTCAAGTTGCAACAGTAAGCACCCTTCCATTGGTCGCAGGGAGATGGGATGAATTCAGCCCTCTGATTGCGACCCCAGTCAATTTGGTCAATCATGTTGTAATAAGCTCGATACCACTTGTTGTCCTCAAACAGAGCAAGTCTTATTCTAGAAACTAATGATCTCGTGTCAACCGAGCCCGTCATATCTCATTCATCAAGAGTATTTTCTCCAAGTGGGACCCTGTGGCGGAATTTTTAATTGTTAACAAATAAGTATAAGAAAGTGACCCAGTCAACTAACACAAAACTTTTGAAAATTGAAAGAAATTATTACCGGATGTGCCATGACAACCACCTTTTTCGAGCTCGAAACCAGTAAAGTCCTCGGTGAAAGCCTGAAAAAAAAATTGAAAGGCATGTTTCATTTAGCAAGGATGACAATGCAAAGAATTCTCAACCAAACGGTCCTTAACATTCTTTGGGGTGAAATACAATTTACATAAAGACCGAGAGGGCTCACCCAATAGTGATATCGTGAGTATACGATAACTCGAGGAAGCACCACTCTCGTTACCATCCACCTGTGTTTTTCGTCCTGACTTACTCCATCACCTGCAAATAGACTTAAATTCAATGATTGCATAGAAAGGCAAAAGAGAGCACGCGGCATATTCAAGTGACTGCATGAACATCCTTCATATGGATAAGCCATTATAGGTTAATATGGTAAATTGAGAAGCTTCATTCATGACATAATATTTCATGTATTAAATTGTATCCAAGAATAGAAAAAACAATAAAGCAGAGCTTAATCTTATTCACTCAAACGACTCATACCAAAACACTAAAACCAAAACACTAACATTTGATCAGATGAAAACAGAATTATACAGAAACAAATATTACAAATTAAAGAAAATGAATAATAACAAGCAGAAAGGACATGTCTTTTTTCCCCTCCAGGAAGCAATTGGGTTTGTTTTTACCAGAAAGATTTCCACGAGTAACCGAATGAACCCTCTTAATTTGCATCACATCTCCCTTCAAATTTGAAGACCAAATTGCAACAAACAATAAAATAAAGAGTCAAAGCTGCAAAGAAAATAACAACAAAATAGATCCCGAACATCCGACGCCATTGGGAATTCAGCTACCCTAAAGTACCTTTCAAGAACCGCTATGTTCAAACTCAAAAGGTCAAGTCGGTTACCTTGAAACTTGAAGCTCATGGTCACCCCGCCGGAATACCCCATCTTATAGTCGGACGTGCGAGACGGTTGTCCAACGCTGTCTCAGTTTGATAGGCGGTCAAATCGAAGGTGAACATAGGTAAATCTTCAATCCAGTAGATTTCGGATGAGCACACGCCAAATTTCACGCTCAGAGAGATTGACCTTATTTTGGCAATCAAGATAAGAGTTTTAGAGACAGAGAAGGGGTTTTCGGTGTGTGGAAAAAATTAGGGAAAGAAAATAGGGATCTGCTAGGGTTAGAGAAAAGGATGAGTTGTGTGTTTCTTTTTATGTTCTCTGATTGAGGGCGATAGTTGCGTATGGGGTGGGGATGAAGATATTCCCCAGCGCGCAAGAAATCACATCATTCGAGAAAGAAAAATACATGATGGCTGCCAGAGATGCCTCCTTCGTTGGCGCCAGGGGCGGAGCCACCCATGGGCTAGGGTGGGCTCCAGCCCCAGGTAAAATTAAAAAAAAAAAAGAAAAAAAAATTATATTATAAGAGTTTAGTTATATAGCCCCATGCCATTTAATACCTAGCCCACATGTCCAGCCCAACAACAAAACCCAAATAACTAAAACAGCAAATCATTTATTTCCTAAAGGCCCTAGCCCATATGTGATTAGCCAACAACAAAAACCAAAATAATTAAAATTTAAAACACCAACTCATTTATTCACTAAAGGCCCGAACCAATTATGCATAAAAAATTAAGCTAGAACATACTTATTCAATTAGAAAACTTCCAGGAGAATTGAATCGACAATCTGTCTTCCTTCATTCTCTGCTTGCTCCTCATAGCCTGCCGCAGCCAAGCGCCAATCCCACCGCCACGGCCCAAGCTTCACTCCTGTCGCCGTTAATTCCACCGTCACGGTCTCGACTTCACTCCTTGCAGAGACGCCGCCCATCTGCCACCGCCCGACCCGATTGGCTACGGCCGCTAACCTCGTTGGTAAGGGTTTTCTTTCTGATTCTACTTCCCGGTTCGTACCTCTTTTATGTCTCAGTTGAACTAACTTATGAGAAATAGCAAGATTCCCTTTATCTAAATTTGCATTTTTCTTTTTCAAATACTCTTTTGTTCAGATGTAATTTAGTTAGGGTATTGGGATTTGGGGGGTTTTGTCTTTGTTAGTTTATTCACCATTCACTACAGAGGGATTCAAGTATTGGAAGCGAGTTAATGACGGCGACAGATGCTCCTTCTTACAACATGTTGGAGGCCCTACTTCATCACATAATAATGCTGCAGCCTCTATTGATTGTTTGATGAATGTGCCTCATCATGTTGATAAGATAATCAATGCACAAACTTTAGAGGAGAAACAAAAGAATAGATTGCGTCTAACAGCAACTATTGAAAGCATCCGATGGCTCACTTTGCAAGCATGTGCATTCAGAGGACATGATGAATCTACATTATCAACTAATCGTGGAAATTTTATCGAAATGATAAAGTTCATGGGAAGAATGAATGATAGCATTGGAGACGTAGTCTTAGAGAATGCTCCAAGAAATGCGAAGTATACTTCTCCAGAAATTCAAAAAGATGTTCTAAATATTCTTGCTCACCAAGTGAGATCCAAAATTCGTGAGGAAGTTGGAGCCGCGAAATTCTGCATTTTAGTGGATGAAGCGAGAGATAACTCCAACAGAGAGCAAATGGCGATTGTGTTGAGGTTTGTCGATATTGATGGCTTTATAAGAGAACGTTTTTTTGCTATTGTTCATGTCCTTGATACAACCGCCGCGACGCTAAAGAAAGAAATATCAGATGCTCTAAATCGATATGATTTGCAAATTCAAAATATGCGGGGACAAGGTTATGATGGTGCTAGCAATATGCGTGGCTCGTGGGGTGGATTGCAGGCTCTATTCTTGAAAGATTGTCCGAGTGCATATTACGTGCATTGTTTCGCGCATCGACTTCAACTAGCATTGGTTGCAGCTGCTGAAAAAGAGGTATCCATTTGGTTATTTTTTTCAAAATTGAATGCTATCGGTAATCTTATAAATGCCTCTCCCAAACGCCATTGTGATTTGCAAGTTGCTCAAAAAAATAAAATTGCATTGGAGATAGCAATGGGGCAGCGTGAGACAGGTAGAGGGAGTAATCAAGTTGGGAATTTACTCAAGCCAGGAAAAACTCGGTGGAGTTCTAATTTTGACTCACTTAGTAGTATGATAGATATGTATAGCTCCGTGATTGTTGTGTTGGAGAAAATGGTGGATGAGGGATCTTCTAATTCCATTCGAGGTGAAGCGAGTGGTTTTTTGATTGCAATGAAGTCTTTTGATTTTATATTCATATTATACTTGATGCAAAAGATAATGGGAATAACAAATTTACTTTGTCGGGCATTGCAAGAGAAGTCTTTAGATATTTTAAGTGCAATGGACAATATTTCATCTACTAAAACGTTACTTCTAACGTTGAGAGAAGAAGGTTTTGGTACCCACCTTCAAATTGTGAAGGATGTTTGTGTCAAGTATGATATTGAGGTGCCTCAAATGGAAGCTCTCTATAAATCTGCTACACGCCGTTCAAGTCATCAAAGTGATTCAATCACAGTTGAGCATCATTATCATTTTGATGTATTCAACTCCGCAATAGATTTTCAAATTGAAGAGATAAATAGTAGATTCAAGGATGAAGCAGTTGAACTTCTTAAGCTTAGTTGTGCCTTGGAACCGAAAGAAGGCTTTAAATTGTTCAATGCGGATCATATTCATCGTCTTGCCGAACGCTTCTATCCTTTTGATTTTGATGGTCAAGATTTGCTCCACTTAAGATTGCAATTGAACCATTACGAGCTTGATATCATTACTAATGAGAGATTTCAAGACTTATCTACTATTTCTGAATTATGTCGAAGATTAGTTGAGACAAATAAGTCAAAAATCTACAACTTGATTGACAGGTACAACCGAAATTGTCTTTAAGTCATTTTTGTAAATTAAGTTCTAGTATATTTATTCGATTTAATTTATTTAATTTATTTTTCAGGTTAATTCGTCTTGTTTTGACTCTTCCTGTGTCTACGGCAACTACAGAGCGAGCGTTTTCGGCTATGAAACTTGTCAAGACTGTTCTTCGTAATAAGATGGAAGAGGAGTTTCTGGCGGATTCCATGACTATTTACATTGAAAGGGAGTTAGTCGAAAAGATTAGCAATGATACTATAATTGTCGAGTTTGAAACTAAAAAAAATCGGAGGTCGCAATTTCATTAGCCCCAGGTATTTCAAAATTCTAGCTCCGCCCCTGCTCATGCTACTCTGTTTAGGGTATGGAAAATTTGACAAGATGGTTTTCTTGAGACTCTAGCATGATTGATGTAGATTGCAAGAAAAAATCAAATTGCGTGTGGCGTAAAATCCGCCCGTCACCAGATGACGAAAATAACCTCTAAGAATAGTCAAAAGTGAGGGTTAAATTGAGGGTAATTCAGACAAAAAATGGTAGAAATTAAACCACTCAAAACGTCGCCGTTTTGAACAAAATGGAGGCTTGTGAGGGGTGCCATGTGGCGGGCAGTAAAGGGGCAACATGGTTTTCTTATAAGACTAGACTAGACTAGGCTAGACTAGGCAGCCTTCAGCACAGCCGGTCCACTCTAATCGTATAGCATTTTACCAATTATCAGTGTCATGTAAATGTCATATAAATGAGTGTATAAATTATTTTTTTATAAAATTCATGTACTAAAAAAAATTTGATCAAAGCAATCATGTATCTAATAAATAATAACATTCGAATAACTTTAGGCTATAATCTAAAAGAATTTAGTACAATAACATGGTAAGCATACTGTATCATTGCATGAAGTTACCCATAAATATTATTCATGTTGGAGCTATACTTATAGATTGTGCTAATACAAAAAGGTCCTATATCATAAGTTCATAACAAAATCCAATAATATACAAGGAACATAAAACTAAGTCTTTGCTTTCACAAGGAATTGAACTTGAAATTACGTTCCTACAATAATCTTCAATAATTTTTTAAGTACAATTCATATTAATAGAGCTGAAAATTAGAATACTAACATGAAAATATTTAATTGAACAGTAGTAGAGTTCCACCCCCACAACTTCCATATATAACGTTGATTCAGTCACCAAAACAAACACAGAAGTAACAAAAATACCTCACTCAAAACATTCAACCAAATATTTGAAATACAATGGATTAAACATTATTTCATAGTTCAAGTCTTCAAGTCTTGATCTCCTAGTACTCACTTCCGGTTTTATGAAAATAAAATATTTTCAACAAATATGATAATATCCTTAGTTTATTTTCAACAAATCAGAACCAAAAATTTAAATGAACATGCAAAAATGACGAAAAATGCATACACATAACCACCACATGAATGAATAGAGAACAGAGAGGAGACCTCATGAGAATATTGCAATTAGTTATCTGTGAATGAAGTAGAAAATGGTTATATAATGGTTTGATATAGTCAAAGATTGCCTTATCGCATTTGACCAGCTAACTACAATCAAAACCTAACTACTAAAAAAATGTGAAATCATCTCTACAATTTTGCTCATCATAGCCAAACTCGTTCTAACCTCACTCTTCATACTCTTACCAAAATGATTGTTGTCACGGTGGATAAAAGTTGCATATTTCGTGTCTCAATATCTTCATAGTAGAATAAAACAGCACCAAGCGAAAACCAACAAAAATTCAATTAGATGCAATAGAAAAATAAATGAAAAACACTTGACAAAAAAAGTAGCAAAGATAAATAGACTCACAATCAAATATGTAACTTAACTGAAAGAAATTAAACATAACTGAAAGAAAACCCCAACTCTTATTAATAAAATTGAAATCAAACTTTGAAAATCTACGTGTCCCTTCAGACTGCCAAACTTCTCAAAACACTCCACAGCATTCACAAAAAACAGAGGAAGAGTAATCAATAATGAAAATGAAGGCAATGGCAAAAACTATTAGAACCAAATGGCTGCATAAACATTGGTCAGGGAAAAAAAAACCAAAACAAAAAAAGAAACAAAGAGGTACCTTCACATAAATAATCGGATCATAGGACCCCACGTGTGCTCGCAAATGATACACACAACCCCTCAACATCTAAAAACATTTTTTCACCTCTGCTATTGCTTCTTGCGTACTCATCCAAAGTTTTATCCCACATACACTCTGCAATATACCAACAATCATTGGATTTCAATAACAATAAATAAAAGAAATAAATAATCATATTAATTATTTTTAATGAAAATAGATTGTAAATTGAAAATATAGAATTGTGCAACGAAAGATTTATCTCAAAGTACATAAATGTAATCAGTCACTACTACAAATAAATTGCATAAAGTTGTAACAAACTTACAGAAGCTAAATGACACTCGACAACCCTGGTGTTGTAGTTAGTTGCAGCAGTAACTTCATTTTGAGACTCAGCCAATGAGTATGCAATAACAAATGAGCCGCCTGCAAAAAGCCAAAATGGTTTGACTGTGGACTGTAAAGGATTTGAAAATACCTTTTTCTCACAAAATTTAAAATTTAAAATAACTATTCAGCTAATAAAGAATTTATTTTTCCATTGCTACATGCAACAATTATGAAAACATGAAAACAAACTCATCAACAGACAGACGGGAAAACTTATATTGTTCAGGTAAGCTTGACTGAGGACAAAATGCATTAAATCCAAAAAAAAAATTTTTACAAAAAAATCACTTCCTGCTTTGTAAGATCATATGTCATGATCGATTTCCCTCACCAAAGCTAAACATTTTAAATTCCAAAAGCAAGCCACATCAACTTTATCTCCTGAACAACAAAGAAATGAGCAAATTCCTTATATAACTTATATATAACAGAAGTTTCTAAAAAGATTGATAATAATATATATGAATGGACCCAAATTAATAGCTAATTTTCTGCTCTACCAGGAAACTTTTACTTCAAAAGGGAACAAACTATTTCATAATGTATCTTGATGCAATGTGATGGAGTTTTGGAGTTAATGTCAGGAATAGCCATTCATTTAAACAAGTCCAATTGCATGAAATTCAACTACTTCAACATCATTATAAGACAAAACAAGAACTAAGGCATGTACATCGAATTTTTCCACTCAAAAAGGATCAAACTTCATTCTAAAAAATGATTAAGAGACTTGAAATTTTGAGTACTGAAAGTCCATCAACATCGAGGTCATTATCAGAGACATTCTTCTCACAAAACACATCAAAAAATACAAATATAAAAGACAGAGGATAAAAGGTAAACTAAATTCTTCAACTCATTTGCATATTTGGTTTCAACGTGATCACAATAAAACGAGCCTTGAATACAAACTATTCGATGATAAATCACTCTTTTCAGCGTAGAACCACATATATGAAACTCAACTATAGCTATTCATCCACTTACATCAGCTAAAAATAACCAAAATCTGTCATTTCCCAAATTCCACCAATCAAGCTTTCAATAGAAAATTCCAAAAAAACCAGTAAAAATTTAAAAAAAAAAAAAGAAAAAGAAAGAAAAACATATATAACATAAAATCAATGACAAATTACCGTAGAAACGTGGGCAGTCCCGACAAAATAAATATCACAGACGGAATATGTTCTAATCTCATTTGAGGATATTCCAAATTAATATCCAGCTTATAAACAAAACACAATCAATCAACACAAGATCAATCAACGTAATATGATGCTTGTGATTCTTATGTTTAATTGGTGCTTAAATTAAATCCAAATAGAAAATATAAAATCTAAATTAATAGATATTGTAAAATAAAAATTATGAACTTTTATAATGGTGATGATTTTATAATATCCCTTAATGATAAGGGAAAAATATGTTGAAGATGAATCTTTTGAACTGCATATTAAAAGGAGTTTATGCTCAGCACACAAATAATCATCCATTACCAAATACAACCAGTTTAAAATTTCAAAGGCCAATGTAGTAGAATGATAATTGAACAACTTGAGAAAATTCACGAACACAAACAAGTTTTCAGCTTCAAAGAGAAATATATAGTTATACATAATCAGGACAGCAGGTGTATACCGGAACCTATATGTTGTACTTAGTTAGGTTCTCATGTAACCAATACAAAGAAACTGAGGTAATGGAATGTTTTTGTTTGTATAGAATCAGATTTATCACTTCTACAGATGCATTGAGATCAAGAATAAACATGAACTTACAGATTAGCAAATGAAATTATTTCAAGGAAGAAACATTCAAACCAGAAAAGAGAGGATTTGTCACTTTTACAAATAAATTTAGCTCAAGAATAAACATGACAAGCTTACAGATTAGCGCATGAAATTTTTTCATGGAAAAAATTTCAAAACAGAAACATGATAGAATCAGATTCATCACTTTTACATACGAATTTAGCTGAAGAAAAACATGACAAAAGATAAAGGATAAAAAGGAACATCAGATCCATCCAAAACTTAATTTACAGAATTAGAAAAGAAAAAAGCGAGAAAATTAACAACACGGACCATATGAAGAAAAATTGAAGCTTAAACATCAAGGAAATCCCCAAAAAATCAGCAGTAAACACACTCACACAAAATTAAAAATTATGTATAATGAATATATAAAAATTATGAATAACTAACAAAGTAATAATCAATTCAAAATGGGGTCCGTGTTTTTGTGCTTAATTTTATTATTTTATTTAAAATCTATGATGAAACACATTAAAATGATTATTTTATGGTGTATTACTGAATTAGATTTTTATTATTTTTGTTATAAGATAATTTATGTTGTCTTCATATTGTTGAAATTATTTTTTTAATAAAATAATTAGTTTTATTTATATTGATAGATATAATTATTTTTTATTTTATATATGCAATATGAATGTCAAATCGAAGATCATTAAAATATAATTATTTTAACATACAAAATAAAATAAAAATAAAAAATATAAAGATTTAAAAATAAAAAGAATAAATATTTATTATAATAATTATTATATTAATTAAATAAGAAAGAGTAAGAGAAGTATATGGTAATTTGAGAAAAAAAACCTAAAATATTTTATAGTAATTTGAGAAAAAAAAACTGAACATGTATATGTAGGAATATGCCTAAAATAGTGTATGAATTATCTTATGACAAGTTATTATAGGAATATGCTAAAAATTGAGAATTATATCATCTTGATTTTATAACAAATCAACCTAAAATTCGACTTTCATATTCATACCAAATAAAATTCATACTACTTATTTTATTTTCAAAATTAAACACAATTCTATCCATACCAAATATAATTCATGTCATTTAAATTTGGATATTTCATGCCAAAATAAAACCGCCCTCATTTTATTAATCATAATACTCAACATTATTTTATTCTATTTTATTCTAAAATTTAGTGTCATATAATATTACTAATAACAACTAACCATATCAATTTTTTCAAAATTAGCTCTGATTAACCAAAAGAATTCATTTTGATGGAAAATATTTTTTCAATAGACAATAACACTTTAAATAAGAGTCGGGGGGGGATCATTGTTGCCGGAGTGGGCTAGTGGTGTTAGGCCATTTCGGGACGGTGGTGGGTCTGGGAGGAGTCGATTTCCTTTAGGCTGGAGAGCGGGTCGGTTCTTGGATTGACTCGGGGTGTGAGTCTTCGCCTTTGCTAGGCGTTCGGCAGCAGTGGCGGGCGCGGTTTTTGTGTCCCGGATCTATTCTTGGAGCCGTCTATTGTCCTTTCGTTCAGTTAGGGTGTTCGGCTGAGGGAGGGCTTGATTTCTTAGTTGTTTTTTTGTTTAGGTGTTTGTTTGTTTGCGTATATGTTGTGTTGTTTTTGGTCGTGTGTTTTTGGTTTGGACCATTTGGTCTTTGTGCGCCCGAGTGTCAAACTTATTATCCTGGTGGGATCCGACACTCGGGTATTATCCCGGTGGGGTCGTTTTAGTTGTTTTAGTGGTTGGTGTTGTTAGTTAGCTTAGTTGCGAGTATTTGTATTCTAGCGTTGCTAGCCGGGATTCTAGGCGGTCTTCTGACCTGTCCTCCCACTTTTTCAGCTGTTGGCTGCTGTGTATTCAGCCGTTGGCTTCTGTGTATTCGCATATTTGTGCATTTTGATTTATAATTTCAGCTGTTGGCTGCTGTGTATTCAGCCGTTGGCTTCTGTGTATTCGCACATTTGTGCATTTTGATTTATAATATTATCTGTCGTTTTGGGAAAAAAAAAAAGTAAATATTATTTATTAAAAAGTTAGTAATTATTAATTTTTTCGAATATAATACTCCCTCCAACAAAAAAAACCGATCGTGCACGTGTTTTTAACAATGGCGGCTCCAAGTGTCCCACTCACCACCATCCAAACCACCACCACCGACCGCCGCTTTGCGAGCCACCCCACCATCTCGCTCATCGACCGGTGCTCGACGCCCCACCAGCTCAAGCAAATCCACGCCCAGATGCTCCGGGCCGGGCTCTTCTCCGACCCGTTCTCCGCCAGCAAGCTCCTCCACTCGTCCGCCTTCTCCGAGTCCCCCAGCCTTCGCTACGCCCGCCAAGTGTTCGACCAAATTCCCCAACCAAATCTCTACTCCTGGAACGTTCTCCTTCGAGCCTACGCATCCTCCTCCCAGCCCATTGACTGTCTCCTTATGTTCATTCGCCTGCATCAAGAATGTGTCGAGAGGCCCAACAAGTTTACATACCCTTTCGTGATCAAGGCTTCAGCCCAGCTTGCTGACTCGGGTCTCGGCAGGGTGATTCACGGGATGGCGGTCAAGGAAGGTTTCAGTTCAGATTTGTTTGTGAATAACTCTTTGATTCATTTCTATTGTGAGTGTGGGCTTTTGGATGCAGCCCGTCTGGTATTTGCAAGCATGCCCGAGAGGGATGCAGTTTCTTGGAACTCAATGATCAATGGGCTTGCCCGAAATGGTTTTGCTGACGAGGCGACAAAGTTCTTTTTGCAAATGGATTCAGAAATAGGCGTGAAGCCGAATGACATCACATTGGTGGGTTTGTTGTCCGCTTGCCGGAAGAAGGCGGATTTAAAGTTTGGAAAATGGGTGCATTCTTACATACAGAAGAACGGAATCGAACCGAACCTGATTCTTTGTAACTCGATTCTCGATATGTATGCCAAGTGTGGGAGCATGAAGGATGCTAGAAATCTTTTCGACACGATGGATGCAAAGGATATCATTTCATGGACGACCGTTCTGGCTGGATATGCAAAGTCTGGAGATTTTAACGCAGCCATGGATCTATTCGAGTCCCTACCCAAAAAAGATATTGCTGCGTGGAACGCCCTCATCTCGGGTTACGAACAAAACGGTAATCCTAAGGGTGCAATAGCCATTTTCAACGAGTTACAGCTCAGCAAGGCCACAAGACCCAATGAGGTCACCCTTGTGAGCATTTTGTCTGCGTGTTCTCAGCTCGGCGCTTTGGATTTGGGCAGTTGGGTCCACGTTTACATAAAGAGGGAAAACGTGAGGTTAAATTGCCACCTCGCGACTGCATTAATCGACATGTATTCCAAGTGTGGGGACCTACAGAAGGCGCTCGAAGTTTTTAATTCGGTCGATAAAATTAAAAGGGACACGTTTGTTTGGAGCTCAATGATTGCCGGATTGGGCATGCACGGGCATGGCAAGGACGCTATAGAGATTTTCTCGAAAATGCGGGAAGCTAAAGTTAAGCCTAGTTGGATTACTTTCATGAATTTGTTGTCCGCGTGCAGCCACTCGGGCCTGGTCGAGGAAGGTAGAGAGTTTTTTCATCAAATGGAGCGTTTTTATGGTGTAAAGCCAAGCGTCGAGCACTATGCATGCATGGTTGATATTGTTGGGCGGGCGGGTTTATTAGATGAGGCCGTTGAGTTGATTGGGAATATGCCAGTGAATCCTAGTGCCTCTGTTTGGGGGTCTCTGCTTGGAGCGTGCAGGCTTCACAAAAATGTCGATTTAGCAGAAAATGCATGCGAGCGTCTGCTTGCAATCGAGCCTCAAAACCACGGAGCTTACGTGCTCTTGTCCAATATTTACGCTGATTCGGGTATATGGGACAAAGTTTCTGAGCTGAGGAAAAGAATGCGGGACGCGGGTTTAAAGAAAGAACCCGGGTGTAGTTTGGTTGAGGTTAATGGTGCTGTTCACGAGTTTCTTGTTGGTGATAATACACACCCGATTTCGAGAGAAATATACTCTAAACTGGGGGAAATTTCGGATAGGCTAAAGTCTTTGGGATATGTGCCGAGAAAGTCGGAAGTGCTGCAGCTAGTTGAGGAAGATGATATGCGGGAAAAGGCTTTGCATCTCCATAGTGAGAGGCTAGCTCTTGCTTTCGGGCTTCTGAGTGATCATTCGGGCCGGCCCATTCGGATAGTGAAGAATCTTCGGGTTTGTGGAGACTGTCACGAGGTGATGAAGCTCGTGTCCGAAGTTTATGATCGGGAGATTGTTTTGAGGGATCGGTACCGATTTCACCATTTCAAGGAAGGGTTTTGCTCTTGTAAGGATTACTGGTGAAGATTGTTTGCTGTAATTGTTGTTGGCCTTGGTCTTGGTGTGTGCTTTGCTCACTTGAGGTTGGAGATTCTTCAGCTGAATGTACGTGCTTTTCTTCAGAGTGTTTCATCATTAAAATAAATAAATAAAAAAATGCTTGATATGTGGAAATTTTCGATATTACCAAAGGAATTACAATCCTGAAAGAGAATCCTGAAATGTAAATGTGATTAATGCTAGAATCTGAAATGTGAATTAACAAACAACCAATCCATTATGCATTAAAATGAGAATTGTATTGGAAATTACTTTTATAGACTTTTTTACTGCCGGTCAATGGAGGCAAGGTGAAAAATTTCTCCACCCCACAAAATTATTTGTTCAGACTATGTACAATTAAGAGTTAAAATCGCCAATTAATAAATAAGTGATTCTTGTCCTGTGAGATGAATACGAAAATTCGAAAAGAATGACTGAAGTGGCTCAAACTTCTGCATAATTGCTTATGGATTATTGCAAAACTGTAACACAGCACAGTGCTGGCAATAATGCTTGCTTACGGATGCTTATAAAATTATTCTAAGACACAAATATTACAATAGTCCTAATGTCATTTGTTGTGAATTCATAAGGGATATTGAGCACAGGTAAAACTGACAACCTTAGTTCTTGTCGCCAGGCAAGTCCAGTTCCATTGAAGAAAAATTAAACACAATTTTAACAAGATTTTGGCAACTAGCACCTGTATCAAAATATAACCAGAAACAATACTTGCAATATCTTGGAACAAGAACCCCATCAACTAGACTGATAAGAACGANTACTTGCATTGCATATCACCCTTCATGAAAAAGACACCAAAATCAAGGAAATTTGGAGAGAGCAAAAATCCAAAGCATCACTAGACAGCAATTACAGCAAACTAACCTAATGCTGCCATGATTTGTAGCTTTACTGCAAAGACTGATTTCTAAAACGGTATAAAAGGACCATGATTTGGTTGAATGTGAAAAAAACAAAAAAGGTTAGCTTCTCTTAAGTGGATTCTCCACATCTCAGACACATTGTGCTCCCTCAAGATCACCTTTTCATCATTCATTCTCCACAACAGCAAACACCATATAATCACCATTAAGACATCCCGAAAAAATTCACCTAGACGGGCCCATGGTCTTCCGAAGCCACACTCTCCTTATTTTCCAAGACGTCAAGGAAAAAATCGGTCAAAATCTTCTCGTAAGATGGCATCTTCGCATAACCCGGGAAGTAATTTATGTCGATCACGAGATAACGGCCCTCAACCCTACTGTCCCTTATCATATCAAAATTAAAGAGGTTCAGTCCCAAAGCCTCCCTAAGCTGACTGGCAACCTCGTTCACAAAACCAATTGGGGGCAGCTCAGCAGCCTCAATTGCCCGAGCCACACTCTCGTTACTTTGATCCTGATATGTCGCATTTGATATCTGCGAAAAGGGAATCAACTTTTCGGACGAACCCAATTTCTCCTCGGAAATGTCGGGCAAAGATGGCCTCTTCACGCACTGGACGTGTTTTCCGGCCACATAGACCTTGAAAATCACGCCTCCGTGGTTCACAAACTCCTGGAGCACAAACGGGGCTTCTAGCTTCGAACTCAGACCATCGAGGCCGTCCCCGTCGAGAACCAGGAACATCTGGTGGGAGACGGCGCTGCCATCCGCCACCACTGGCTTCGCAATCGCCGGAAAATCAAAGGCGGCGGCGGGCGATGAGTCGGGAGTTCCGACGAGCATCTGGCGGGGGATCTCGAGCGAGAACTGAGGGGGTAGATTGAGCTGGCCGACGGCTTGGAGCATGGTGACGCGGCTGTGGAGGCGGTCGATTGCGGCGGGCCGATCGATGACGACGGCGTTGGGGTTCTGCGAGAGGTACAGTTGGAGCTGGTAGATCCACTCCGGGTCGGATAGTTTGTGTATTATGCAGTCGCAGGGGGGTTGGTCGAGCAAGGGTTTGGTGAGTTGGATCGGGACGAGTTCGATTCCTCGCTCGCTGGCCGTGTTGAGGAGAGATGGCTGGATAAAGCTTTGGATCTTTTTTGGCGCCAGAGCGTAGCCGATGCGGTAGCTGGTAGCGTTGTCCGCCATTGGAGGTGTGGAGTTTATCTGCAGATGCAGACGATGGTTGGGAAGAAGGAGATAGAAAAGTAGGGCATTGAAGTGAGTTGTATACACAAGATGCTCAGCATAAAATTATACCATCCTTTTTTTTTTACTTTATTACACAAGCCATAACTTTATAAAAAATATTAAATTTTTATATTAATCTTATAATTAATTGTATTCTTAAAATATGATGTTTTATTGTAAAAAAATATATAAATATATTTTGAAAAATAAGACTATTTTACTATTAGCCACAATTTTTTTTTTTATCATAATGATAGGAATACTCATTAGTCATTATACCACAAACTAAGAACAGAGTTTAATACAAATATACACACCAAACACAACACCAATGGGCACCACCCAAATTTTAACAAAACAAAAGAACAACCTGAGGGCCAAAGCTAGGGAGAACCACATCAAACAATGAGTGGCCTAGACATACCAACAGAACCAAACTTGTTAGAGGCAGTTAACATCACACTGTGCCCTCCAACAAGAACAGACACACAACACAAAGAATATAATCACTAGCAACTGTACTGATCAAGCAGACCTAATTAGTAATGTGATTTGCCATCCTTGTTTAAGCTCTCAAATTCACAGCTTCCATCCAAGATTTCACTGTTGCTTGAACTGTTTGTTGTTCATGTCTCCACACCCCTTCAAATTGCCACAAATTTATGGATTTCCAAAGCCACCATAGTATATAAGTTGTCAGCTAAATTCGGGCTTCAGAAACTAGAGATTTGTCTAAAGAGCAAATTTGTCCCCACCAATCTCTAAACCTGCAAGAAACTGTATTTATCCTATCCGAATTCACTGGAGCTTTTTTTCAAACTTTCCTTGCTCTCTTGCATTTAAAAAATATGTGTTCTATTGTCTCCTCCTCTTCTCAACAACTTCTACAAATCACATCTACCATCACCCCTCTCTGCCTTACATTAACATTAATAGGTAAGATTCCATTGAAGCATTTCCACACAAAATGTTCGATCTTACATTGAATTCTCAACTTCCAGCTTCTCATCCTGAATAGTCTCTCCATGCCTTCTCAAATTGCAAAAGTATCATTTTAACGTAATAAAAATGTTGAATTTACTCAATGATTAGAAATGTTAGAGATTTACAAATATATACACTAAACTTAAAATACAGACGTTGAAATGGTTAGACATGTTAAAATTATGCAAACATATGAAGCACAATTGCTTGACGTTAGATTTATTAAAATGCATCAAAACGACCAATAATGTTGGAAAAAATAAACATCATAAATATAAATAAAACATATATATATTTGTAACTTTTCTCCTTCCCCTTCCAATATTTCCGAAACCATTTTTTTATCCAAACAACAGTGTATTTTTTTTTTTAAGACAATAGAATTTATGGCTCGGAAATGTACAAGGATTATAGCCAGGGTTAAATAACCCGATAACAATACCAAACGTTAGACAAGACTAACACCTAAGAGGCGCACTAGAATCCTAAAACGGAAAAAAAAAAGAGAATGAGACAGGAGAGTTGCAACTCTATACCTTGTTGTCGAACTTTAAGATGATATATTTTACTTAATTCATCACAAGGGAGTAACAATGAACAATTGAAAAGATGATCATTAGTTTTTAACAATGTTGGGCAAAAATGATTACTTTGAAAATGTTGAACTAGAATTAATTAAATTGAAAATTGGAGTACCAACTTAAAAATTCATATTATTGCGGGTACTAAAAATGAATTTATCCATTTATTAAGTAACCACAAAACGTTCTTTTTCCGGGCGCGATTACCCACCTCTATTCACAGGCTAAAACCCTAAACCCCGCACACGTTGCCGTGCAGCTCTCATGGCGTCGGCGGCGACTCTGAAGAAGAACTACCGGTGTTCTCAGTCCCTGCAACAATTCTACTCCGGCGGGCCCTTCGCCATTTCATCCGACGGCTCATTCCTTGTCTGTTCATGCGACGAGACCATTAAAATCGTCGATTCTTCTAACGCCGCAATCAAATCAACAATCGAAGGAGATTCCGAGCCTGTGACTGCCCTTATTCTCAGCCCCGACAATAATTTGCTCTTCTCTTCCAGCCACAGCCGCCAGATTAGAGTGTGGGATTTGTCCTCCCTAAAATGCATCCGCTCATGGAAGGTTTATTTATTTAATTACCCATGTTTTTCTGGTATTGACTGCAGTAATGTAAGGATTGTAACTTGACATTACACCATACATTTTTCTGCTTTCACCTTGCATACAAACTGTTTTGATAACATATATGATTGAACTTTAATTTGTGTTATGTTGGAAATAAGGGGCATGAAGGGCCAGTCATGGGAATGGCTTGCCACGCGTCAGGGGGGTTGCTGGCCACAGCAGGGGCCGACAAGAAGGTGCAAGTGTGGGATGTTGATGGAGGCTTTTGTACACATTATTTCAAGGGGCATAAAGGGGTGGTTACTAGCATCATTTATCACCCTGAGCCGAATCGATTGCTTGTGAGTTTTTTCTTGTTCAAATTGAAAAAGAAAATGTAAATCTGAGTTTCTATGTTTTTCCAATTTGTCGAGTAACCAACCATTACTGGTGTATTAGATGGTGAAATTGATGGTAAGAGTCATTGTCTGCTGCTTTACAGCTGTTTTCCGGTGGTGATGATGCTATTGTTAAGGTGTGGGATCTTACCAGCAAAAAGTGTGTTGCAACACTAGAAAAGCATCAGTCAGCAGTCACTTCCTTAGCAGTATCTGAAGATGGATGGACATTGCTTAGTGCTGGAAGAGATAAGGTACTGTCTGCATATTCTATCAATTTAATTAATCATTGATTAGACTGAGAGCAAAAAGTTGCAGAGTAACAATGTGATGAAATATGTTGTATGACAAAATCCAGCGTCGGAGATTTCACATCAGCGGCTGTCTAAATTTTTGTTTTCAGTGTTTTTTTTTTCCATTTTATCCTTAACTTTGTGGCTTTCAGATTTAGGTTTTTAGTTTGTTATTTTATATTTTTCAGTTATACTCTTCCTTTCTGAGGTGTTTAGCCATTTTATTTTTATTTTTCCATAGAGTTTTCCACTTTTGGCTTTTTTTCAATTTTTTTTCTTCATTTTAAGTCCCATCAGACCATGTGGTCAGGAGTTTGCCCTTATTTCCATTTGTTTGTCTAAAAAAATATTCAATTCCATCAGGTTCCTTTTTGTTTTATGTTATCCATTTGTCATACAACATATTATGTTTAGCAACATACTGATGCCTGTTGTGATGCCAGGTTGTTAATATATGGAACTTGCATGATTACAGCTGCTCAACAACTGTACCCACATATGAGGCGCTGGAAGCTGTGTGCACACTTTATTCGGCATCCCCATTTTCATCATGCTTGTCATCATATGCCAAGGAAAAAGGGAAGAAGATCAGCTCATCTTCTATTCAATTTGTAACAGTTGGTGAACGTGGTATTGTGCGGATATGGAATTCGGAGGGGTGGGTCATCCATACCTTTGACATTAAAAAACTTTTTATGGTTTGTGTGTGTTTATTATTTTTTTTAATACGAGCCAGTGATATCAAATTATTTCTGCCATGGCCGTATGGCATGGCGGATTTCTGCCTAATCGATACAAATTTGTGAAGGATAGCAGTTATGGCAGTGCTACAAGCTGCCATGGCAGCCTCTATCGCGGGATTTCAGCCCGCCACCATTTTCTGTCATTCACCAAAGATAACACTGATGCAAGTGCATATAGGATTCGGATTTATACGGTTAATTACTTTCAACATGGTTCTTTAAAAGCAAAAAATTATATTTTCCATTCACCATTCTACCCCTGCATGCTATCTATTGTTGAGGAGCCTGTATTTGCATCACTAGCTCCAGCAATTAGGTGATTACTTGTTAAATTCTTGTCGTCCCTTCTAAACTTTCATGTTTTTTCAATGACAGGGCAGTGCTCCTTTTTGAGCAGAAATCTTCAGATTTGGCTGCTAGCTCAGAAAATGAAGAGGTTAAAAGAGGTTTCACGTCTGCATTGATGCTTCCATTAGGGAAAGGACTTTTGTGTGCTACAGCTGACCAGCAGTTTCTTGTTTACGATCTTGAGAAAAATGCTGATGGAGGTCTGAACTTAGGGCTCAGAAAAAGGTTGATTGGATACAATGAACAGATTATCGATATAAAGTTTTTGGGTGAAGAAGAAAAGTTTATTGCAGTCGCTACGAGTGTTGAACAGGTGAGGTAATTTTATTTTATAGTCATGCGCACTGTGCATCTTATTACTGGGAATCAAATCGGTTCAACCTTGTTTGGCATAGAAGTTGGATGTTCTGAGGAATTTATCATTGAGGAATTATTTGATTTATCATTTACCAAACAGCAAACAGTTTTGTCTATGGTTTTGTCTCTGGTGTTGGTCATTCTTTATATTGTATCATCTGTAGGTACGGGTGTATGATCTGGCATCAATGTCATGTTCGTACGTATTGACTGGCCACACTGATGTGGTTCTATGCCTTGACACCTGTGTGCAAAGTCCTGGAAGAACTCTAATTGTGACAGGAAGCAAGGACAATACTGTGAGTTGTGCTCTGTGTGTTTGTGTTTATGTTCGAAGGCTACTTTTTTAGTCTGATTATTTTATCTTCTCAGGTTAGGTTGTGGGAATCCCACAACCAACGTTGCATTGGAGTTGGCATAGGTCACATGAGTGGTATTGGTGCTGTTGCTTTCTCACGTAAAAGCAAAAACTTCTTTGTTAGCGGCAGTAGGTAATTACATTTGAATTTTTGAATTTCTGTTTTTGAAACTAGAGTTGCCTTTTCTTTCTCGTAATAATTTTATTTGTTGTTTCTGATTACGTGAAATGCTTTTGCATTATGGTTTTTTCCTCGGTCAGCGATCGTACGCTGAAGGTGTGGAGCTTAGATGGAATTTCTGATGATGCTGAAGAAGTTTCCACTTTGAAAGCAAAAGCAGTTGTGGCTGCCCATGACAAAGACATTAACTCGTTAGCAATTGCTCCCAACGATAGCCTTGTTTGCAGTGGGTCCCAGGTAAATACGTTGTTAAAATCCCTTGTTGAAAATTTACATATTTCCTTTAGTATTTGCTTCTAATTTTACATTTCCTTTTAATTCCCTTGAAATAATTAGGATCGCACAGCATGCATATGGAGGCTCCCAGATCTTGTCTCTGTTGTTGTTCTTAAAGGACATAAAAGGGGAATTTGGTCTGTAGAGTTTTCTCCAGTGGATCAGTGTGTTATTACAGCTTCGGGTGATAAAACAGTTAAAATTTGGGCCATCTCTGATGGGTCCTGTTTAAGAACATTTGAAGGGCACACATCAAGTGTCATTAGAGCTTCGTTTATTACGCGGGGGACTCAATTTGTTTCTTGCGGTAATCTAGCTGTCGCTCTAAGATATTATTTTTTACTCTTATTGTTTCTTTTTGACTTCTGTTCTAACTGGAGGTACTGTATTATTAGGTGCTGATGGCTTGGTAAAATTGTGGACCGTAAAAACCAATGAATGCGTGGCCACTTATGATCAGCATGAAGACAAGGTTCAGATTTTTCTGTACCCTGAAGAATTCATGTTATTATTATTTTTTTTGCCCTCTAAGTTATGTGATTTTCACTCAATTTGAAAAAAACAATCTCTGCAGATTGATTTCATCAGTTGTTAGTTTACTTCGCTTACATCATAAATTCTGCAGATATGGGCGTTGGCTATTGGGAAGCAGACAGAAATGCTTGTAACTGGTGGTGATGACGCCGTTATTAATTTGTGGCACGACTCCACAGCTGCAGATAAAGAGGAAGAATTTCGTAAAGAAGTGAGAAATCTCTTAATCAATTTGAATATTATTTGTATGAATTCTCACTCTATACAATATATTTATGTACTCAATAGCTATTTATTCCGTCTCATATATTGTTTGTCTTTCGCTTTTGGGCCTTTAGGTTAGTTTTTGTATATGTGGTGGTGGTGGTGGTGGTGGTGATGATGATGATAATAATAATAATAATAATAATAATAATAATAATAATAATAACAATAATTGTATGTGATATAACATAACCATAATACAACTGTAGGGGGAAGCTGCTGAGAGAGGGCAAGAACTAGAAAATGCCGTAAAAGCTGTGGACTACCCAAGGGCTATTCAACTAGCATTCGAACTTCGCAGGCCCCACAAACTGTTTGAAATATTTAGTGAACTCTGCAGGTACATGGCTTTTCCAATTGCAGTCTGTCGTTTGATATTTTTTGAAAGGTTTTTTTTATTGTAGCATTGATCTCCCTTTTCAGAAAGACAGATGCTGATGTCCAGATGGAAAAGGCTCTTTCTCCTGTTACCAAGGAAGAGCTTCATGTGCTTTTGGAATACATAAGAGAATGGAATTCAAAGCCCAAATTTTGCCATATTGCACAATTTGTGCTGCATCGTGTATTTAGCATCTTCCCTCCTACTGAGATCATCGAGGTACTCGCATTCAATTTTTTTGGTCATTTTACGGATTACCCTTGAGGTTTAGCCTAATCATAGGGGTTGAATCTGAATTGTCATTCATAATTAACTACAAATGCTATTGCTACCTTGAGCTCGGAATGATAGATGGGGTTGATTTGTTGTGAGGCTAAATCTCAGAGATGATGTTCGTAACTAATATAAACTTTCATGAGATAGTTGCAAGAACTACTCTGAGGCTTATCCAACTCTGAAAATCAATAGTAATATATTAAATATATAATTTCTCCTCCAGGGTATGTCTGCTTTCTTTGTTTGTTCGTTTCTTTCTTTCTCTTTCTTTTTGTCTCCCACAAGATTAATTATTTCCAACTCCAACAAAAGAAAATTTCGTTGGTAAACGATTAACCCTGAATGACTGACTAAAACTCCACTTAATCCTTATCTGATCATAATCAAATTCACTTATGCAAGGGTAAATTTTTTTATTGGTGATGTGTTTTTGTACAGATGAAGGGAATTGGAGAACTGCTTGAAGGGCTCATCCCATATTCAAGGAGACACTATACAAGAATAGACAGGTTAGAAAGAAGTACATTCCTTTTGGACTATACCCTGACTGGAATGTCTGTGATTGAGCCCGAAACAAGCGAGACAAAATCGAGAGATGATACTTTGGGGCAGCCCAAGGTAGAAGAAGAAGAAGAGAAACACCTAATAAAAGTAGGTGAAATGGAGGGTGAGGATTTGCCCAGCACAAAAGATACGTCAAGCAAAAAGCGAAAATCTCATAAATCACATGACAGAAAACAGAAAAAATCCAAGGTGGCTTATGTGAGTGCTGCAGCCGTAGCATCAGAGGCCTAATTACAGGTAATGTTTGTCTGTATTTATTAGAAATTATACTTTTGTTTGAAGTTGAGGTTATATGTTCACAATTTTTGAGGGCTCGGCAGTTTAATGGTGTTGTAAGGTTGAGGGATTATGCTCTTGAAATTTAGCATTTTTGAGTAAAATTTTAACTATTGATGAACTTTTGTGAAATCAAATTTATTTTTGTTGTTAACGTAATATATATTGCAAGGTTATGCTTTCTTATAAATCATTCTAACGTATGCTAATTTCAGTTCGAAGAGAACACGTAAAATTACTTGTGTGTTTAATATGCATATAGAGAGCTAGTCTAATAGTATTTTAATTTGCACTTTCTATTTAAAAGAAATCATTTTTATAATTTTTTTTTAAAAAAAAGGTAAATTTCACATAATTATGGAAGAGGACATTGTATCTAGAGACTAAAACACATGGAGTGGTTGATCTTGTAATTGTATAAGATTAAATCAAGTTAGCGAACTTAGAACTAATAATATGGTATGAGTATCACATCATGTTGCAAGTTTCTGGCCCAATTAAACTGATCAAAATCGAAGAAAAATTGGGATATCTTGACTGTATGCTTGTGATTATTTTAATTTTTGGAAGTCTGTTTAATGTGTTTCCTGCCAATTGATTTTTAATTATTTTTAGTTTGGTCTTAATGCGGTTCAACTATTGTTTTTTTTTTCAAACGATATTAGATATTATTAATATTATCGAAATACACAATTACAACAACAACAACATACTCAGTATTTTCTCAACAGGTTAGAGTATGAGGGTGTAGAACTTGCTCTTGTAATTATACAAGGATACTGTTTCCGTAGCGACCCAAGGTGCATTGCGCCGTTTGATATATTTTTTTCTAGAAACTTCACTAATAGAAGAAGCACTAGTATTTAACTGAGTCATTTTGATCTAGTCCACAATTAAGGAATTGAACAAAATAATACGAAAAATCAAAATACAACTATAAAAAATGTAAAATAAATTGTGCCCTGACGAAGAGGGAAACTACTACACTCCCGCAATACTTGCCACAAAATGAATTTCATAAATCCGAATCACCCAATACCATAACCTAAAATTTAATAGAAAAATTGATTAAACATAAAATGAATTTCATAAATAGGAATCACCCAATACCAAAACCAACAAAATTAATAGAAAATGAATTAAATATAAAAAAAATAATTGATGGTGAAGTCAAACTCCACATGTTTGAAAGGGTAGGTGGCTAACTCAAACTCTCTTCTCCATCGTCCAAAGCTTCCAGAACATGTTTGTTTTTTCAAATTTTAAATACAGTTATATAATGTACTTCGATCACATGCTATTTACTTCTGAAAAAATGCCAATATTTACATTTTTCGTTTTCAACAAAATATTGAAGTAGCTAGCAAACACGGATGTCCCAAATGCCAACACGACACATTTGCTTGTTCGAGAAACGACCACACACGCTCTTTCCTACCAAACTTTCTCTGAGTTATCTAATTTTTTGTATATACTATTATTAGGGAGCGCATTAATCAGTTTACTGATTAATGAAAATAAATTGCATACATTTTAAACAAAAATGATTACCTATCCAGTTACATATCAAAATGTCTCTGTTATTTCAATTTTGTACCCATCGTATATGATATGTAATCTCTTGTTAAATTAATTTGTGCAAGATGGTGTAATCTTTTAGTTATGTGCTATTTTTTTGTCGGATGAGGCATGTTAATTCATTTAAAAAAATATTATATTTGTTGAAGAAGTAGAACTGTAAATCTAAATTAATCTAACCAATCAATTTTGACTTATTAATTCAACGGATGGAAATTTATATTTTGTACAATTATCTGAAGTTAATTTTGAACATACCTTTCAGATGCTCCATTTTAAATAAGCACCAATCTTTAATGACTAATCAAAATCTAAGAGCAGCTCTCCGAACTTCTGTTACAATTGGGCTCACTAATGATAAACCAAACTAGCTTTTCTAAACTNGTCAATTGTCATAATAATTTTAATAAAAATATAAATATCTAATAGAAAGGTCGTACATTTGAAATATTATGTTGTTTCATATAATATGACATTTCAACTTACAAATATATATATAAAAAATAATTGTCTGTCAGCTTAGCCTTACTGTTATTACTTCTATTTGTAGATTTGTAGTTTGTAATTAACACTAACTTTATTTCATATTAAATCATATCTTATTTATTTATTTTGAATAAGAGTTTTTTTATTTTTTCCTCTGAGCTCTGGCTAACTACCACCTTCCCAACTATCTGCTAACCACACGCTCTTTCAATGCCCCCTCAAAACCCCCTTTCTCTCTTACTTTTAATTTTTCATTTATTTTTTATTTTTATTTTTCAAATTATCTTTTTCTCTCTCTTTAAATACCTGTAATAGACGAACCTTAACACACTCATAGCTCAAAACCTCTGTTTTCTCTGGTTTAAGCTCACGTAGAGAGGGAAAGAGAGGAAGAGAGATAGAGAGAGACTGAGAGAGAAGGAAAATGGCGCCAGCTGCCTTTTGGAATTCGCCGAGGACGGTTTGCGTGATGGATGCGTCGGGCCGATTGGGCTCCGCACTCGTCCACCGCCTCTTGCAGCGAGGATACACCGTCCACGCCGCTGTGCACAACCACGGTAATTTATTCCGGCGATTCTCTCTCTTTATTTTTTAATTTAATTTAATTTTTTTATCTGTGCTTCATCTGTTCTGACCCTTGAAAACAGCCTGTTTTCCCGGTGCTTCATTTTTCTGCTTAGTTTATTAATTTAATTTTCATTTTCGTTTTCGTTTTTCCTATATATTATGTGTTCAGTGACGTCCAAAATCGGCAAGTCTTTGCAAAATCTGTAATTATTATCTAAATCTTAGTTAATTCCTCGTTAAGATCAGTTTAATTTAATCTTCACAGGCATAGCGTGTTTGCAAATTCAGTTGACTCGCCAGACTTTCTTGTTCCCTCACATATCTATCCTTTTCTCCTTGTTTAATAAAATAATTTATTAATTGTAACTTAATCTTGTAATGTTCCTTAAAATTGTAATTTAATTGTTTATTGATTTATTTTAATATTATTGATTTCAGATAAGTTGACGTGCTACGAGAGACAATCTAGAGATAACAAGAGGTTGAGAGTTTTTCAGTGTGATCCATTAGATTATCACAGCATTTTGGAAGCACTTAAGGGATGCTGTGCCTTGTTCTACTCCTTTGAGCTACCTCCAGATCACCCAACCTATGATGTGAGTTGATTAATTGACAATTGCAGAGTCCATCCGCCGTACCTTTTTTTTTTTTTTTAATTAAACGAGAACGAATATTTAGATAAGAAAATTTCATACTTTAGAGTAAAATTTATGCTTGAAAGTGCGTGTATTTGTTGAAACATACTTTTCGATGAAAATGAATTTTTCATATTAAAAAGCATGTGAAACTATTCAGTTCAAAATATGTTACATTTAACTATAAAAAATATTACTATGTTTTAATGAAAAAATGGTGAATATAGGGATTATAGCTAAGCCGTCCCATAAATATTGGCCCAACCTGCCGGCATTCTTTGTAAAATTTATTAAAAGCTGTTTGTTTTTTGGAGTAAGTCCAGCTATATCTCTTAAATGAGCTTTAGTACAGTTTCTAGGCTGGCTTTTTACCTAATTCTTTTTGCTTTTATTGTCTTAAATAAATAACGTACGGAATTTTTTACTACGCTTTGCTATAAAGGCTATCGAGATTGTTATCCAGTTTGCTTTGACTGGGCTAGCTTATGCCTAATTTTCATTATTTTGTCTTATGCAATTATTAAATGTCATTGTAGAGATGTATAAATCATCAACTATTGTGTAAGACTTTGACGCTAGAAGTCATTGTATGCTATAATGGCTATCAACAACCAGTGAACATGAAAAGATGACTTATTTTGCTGAACTTCAATACTGAACACTCAATAGAAAGTTGGAAAGTTATTCTTGGTCCACCGACAGTTTTAGGTGTGACATGTTTTCAAGATAATTTGTTACACATGAAACAAAATGTCTTAATTGCATCCTTGTCAAGTAGCAACAAGTTAGCATTTTTTCTTCATTTCATTTTATTTCATCTGATATTTGCTTTTTGGGCATCTCAATTCACATGATAGTATATTTGTTTTAGGAGTGGATGGGTGAATTGGAAGTAAGAGCTGCACATAATGTGTTGGAAGCGTGTGCACAGACGGACACCATTGACAAGGTGGTTTTCACCTCGTCTGCCACGGCTGTAATCTGGCGTGATCACCAACACGATAGCCTCCCGCCCGACATGGATGAGAGAAATTGGAGCGACATTAACTTCTGTAAAAAGTTCAAGGTAATAATTAGTTAATAACGACTAATGCTTCTTAACGATATCATCGATACATTAGTTACGGAACTAACTGTGTCCTTACATTCAAAAGTAGCTCTAAGAAAAAATGTAGGGAACTTTATCGGGAATAGAAATAAAATGTAAAATGGCTATTTAATAAAATACCGAGGCTTGTGAGAACACAATGTCTTAAAAAAGATTAATCTCGTATAAGTGTCTATTTCTTAGGATTTCTATGATACAATGGCATAACCGAATAAAATCTGGCGAACTGGAATTATGTCTGGATCAAAACACTATAAAAGAAAAATTGGAGAAAAAAAAGACTAAGAATTCTTTTCTTTTCTTCATTTCGTATCTCCTCTCCTTCAGAGAAGACCTCTCTTTATATAGTCTTAAGATAAGACCACTAATTAATTTAGGCATTTAAACAAGTTGGGTTAAAAGTCTTGTAAAAGTAAAACACAGTTATAAATTGAAGTTACAAGATCCAAGGTTTCAAAAGCTAATTTTATGTTACAAGTTTCATTCACAAATTTTCAATAGAAATTACCCTGTTTGGCCCTATCAAGCAACACCTAGACTTATTGCTGCTCAAATTTGTGAAGCCAATTAATAAAATGTGAGTTTTGTTGTGTGTGTGATTGTGCAGTTATGGCATGGGCTTTCGAAGACAATAGCCGAAAAGACAGCATGGGCTCTTGCCATGGACAGAGGTGTAAACATGGTCTCGATAAATGCGGGCCTTTTGATGTGCCCCAACTTGAGCATCAAGGATCCCTATCTTTTGGGGGCAGCCGAGATGTTTAAGGATGGTGTATTTGTCACAGTTGATCTCAAATTCTTGGTCGATGCCCACATTTGTGTTTTTGAGGACCCTTCTTCCTATGGTCGATACCTTTGCTTTAACCGAATCATTAACTCGAGTGACGATGCAGTCCAGCTGGCGACCATGCTTTTGCCACCGTCATCATCGGACATGTAAGAAAAATTTAAAAGGGGTTACATTTGGAAAAAAAAAAAAAAGAAATAGTATTAATATAAAATAAAAATTGAAGCTGAATAGATGAGTTTAATTAATTTGGTGTGTGGTGCAGGTTGGAGGATGAGAGGTGCTATCAGCAGAGGATTAGTAATGAGAAATTGAGCAAAATTATGGTGGATTTTGAGAGTGGAGTGTCAATTTCAACAAGCAGTGTTGAATGATTGCTTGTTATTATTGGATGGAAAAAGATACATCTGTATTGGTGTAAAACATATGATGATGTATTGAACACTGTACAAGAATGTTCAGTGAAAATATGTATGTACACTTTGCCAGGTTTAGATATTTAGATTATCATAAGCTAAAGTAATGTAGCATTATGTTATCAAATTGATTCTTTGAACCTTGGCTAAAAGGTGTAGAGTGGGAAAGTGATGAGATGGGGATTATGATTATTATATTATTCCTTACAATGTACCCAGTCTTCAACTTTAATCTATGAATATCTCATTCCACTTTGGATGTATTCTTTTATTTTTAAAATTTTGCTGTCTACATAAATATGATTGATCTCATAAATTATACAAAGCATCAGTCTTCAACTTTAATCTATGAATATCCCAGTCCACTATGGATGTATTCTTTTATTTAAAAATTATGCTGTCTACACAAATTGATCTCATAAATTATACAAAGCAACTCACGAGTCCTGACTCCTCACAGTCAGCTCTCAAGCTGGCAGTCCACTTATGGACATATCATTCATTTCCATCCAAAATAATATAATAAATACACTCAATGTGATTGAAATGTTTGTACTCCTTCTATTTGTCCAAATAAGATATTGCTGAATTTCTTATTAATAATATTGTTATCAAATTTAGTACTTAAGCTCACGTGATGAATTTGGCCACACAAATGTAGATAAAATTTTTCCTTCGACCAATACAGATAAATTACAGAGCCACATCAAATAGAAAAACAAGTACCAAAAAAGAAAAAAAGACTGATCTACATGGAGCCAGGCTAAAGCGATTTCCAGAAAAGCGTCGCAGATTTAAAACTACTCAAAACGATAAAAACAAAAGTTCATATATATAGAAATGCAAAAAAAAAATTAAAAAACATATTCACAAAATGTCTTAAGATGGTCCAAAATCCTCCAAAAACTAAAATGAACTAAAACATATATATATATAAACCTCCCTATGAAAACATGAAATAGAAAAAAATAAAATGATAAATAACCAATCACTTCCTAAGTAGCAAACTCCCAATCTTGCCAAAGAGAGGCTTACTCTTTTTCTTTATCATCACATTACCCTCCAACTCCGAACCGGAGTCTCCGCCATTATCAACCTCCAAGCTTTCCCACATTCCCGCATTCTCATCGCTCTTCGTTTGCTCGGAGCTCGTCCAATCCGAAACTATATCGTATTCACTTTCATCTTCCTCGTCAAAATCATCATCATCTTCATTTTTATCCGCAATAGTCTCGTGAGGCGGGTTAGACAAAGCCTCAACCTTTGCCACCAATGTGGCCTCCCTCTCCCGAAGCATCTCGATTACCGATAAATATTTCAACTGCTCGTCAGATATCGCTTTTCTCAAACTCTTCCCGACTTCCTTCATCTCGAGGAATTCAACATTGCTCTTCTTGAGCAAGTTCTTAAGCAAATAGATCTCGTGATTCTTGAGTGCCACCTCATCCTCCGACCTACTCAACGAGTCCTTCAAGTCATTTCTTGTTAGCTCGATCGAGATGTTGAGCCCATCGATCTCTTGCCTCGCCTCGCGGTTTTCCAACCTTAGATCTTCGATTTGCGATTTTAGTTTTTCGTTCTCGATTTTAACCGCTTTGTGTTGCGACCTTATAAAGTCTTCTACCGGCGTCACCAAGTGTTTTCTGACGAGATTGGGAAGGAGCTCTTGTCTATAGTTTTCGAGAGCGCTCATGTAATGTTCCTTGTCGGCTTTTTGCGCGGCAAGAGCTTGCTTGAGCTGCTCGTTGGTCTTGTTCAACAGTTTACGAGTCTTTTTGGCTTTGTTGCGGAGAGTGACTTTGTCTTTCACGGCCGAGGCAAGGTTCTGGTTGGATATCTTGAGTTTTTCTTGAGTTAGCTTTAGTTTGTCTTCGAGTGTTGGCGGTTGTGATTCGCAAACACCAACCATGGCCTTGTTCTCCTGAGGGAATAAACAGAGATATATAAACTATTTCTTTAGTTAAAATACTAAATAATTGGAAAGAATGAAGGTTAGGCTTTGAAGAACAAATAGTGAAAGCACGTCGCAATGCGCAAAAACGTTAACAATATATCATATATGGCATCGTTTTTGCTTTGTCATGAAAATCATTTGGTTTTGGAGTAATCAAATTTTTCAAGAAACTCTAATTGAAAACATCACAAAAGTATAATGTTATTAGTTCAAAGGAAAAAGAAAAGAAAAAAAAAAAGAAGAAACAAGTGCTACTCCTTACATCTTTGGAGTTGAGAGAATCGAGCTTTTCAACCAGCTTCATGAAATTCGTTCCGAAATTCATTGATACGCGTCTGAGTATGTTGGAACAATAAACAAGAAAGGTTTTCTTCTTTGAGTAAACAAATATGGAAGAACATATACTGTAATAAACTAATTAATATCAAGGCATGGAATGGATATGATCCTGTTAGACAAAATACATAACCCTTTTTCTGAATTTTCAACCTGCATATTGTAAGTATGGACATAAGAAAGAAATAGAATGANTGATATTAAAAATAAAAAGTTCCAAATATTCTAAAATTTAAGACAAAAATCAGATCCCATAAGTTTCGTATTCCGTTCTCAAAAAAAAGATATCAAGCCTCAATAATGTATGATTTCGCTAAACAAGATAAACCAGTTAGGGTTTCAAGATTTATTCAAACAGCAAATTAACTAAGATCTCCAATACATACACGGGCTAAAAGAGTCAGATTAATTTATATTATAACCAAAAAGAAATATAGATAAAACACAAAGGCATCAAATCAAATTAACTAGGAATTTCGAAGTTGATCATGATAAACGAACACAACACATCACATGTAAATACTTTCATAAGGAAATAGCGTCACGCTTACTCGAGTTTGAAGAGAACTGATGAAAAAGTAAGGGTCTTCAATGAAACTTAAATTCCGATCGATGGAAGACAAGAAAAAGAAACTATAGAATACGATTTATTTTCTGGTCTTGAATATCAAGTTATCTATCAGTTACTTTTATTTGGTTACGGAAAAAATATTTGTTCTTTGTGATATTGGATATATATGGAGGATATATGATATGCATGGAAGTGATTTGATATGCAAGAGACTTTTTATTTTCCGTTTCCTATCTGGATTGTTTGAGATATTATGATTCCAAATTTTTCGCGGTATATTTTCTTTTACAGTATATTAATTACTTTATACCCAAGGAAGAACAATTATAATCAATCAATATTAGTTTGGTCCATACCATGTACTGGAAGCACTGTGCATAATTGTATTTAGAAGTCGAAAATCGAAGAAATAACAATATATATAACTATTGTGTGATAAAATTTCATTTGTGCAATGACCACAATATTTATGAATCCTCCTTTATTTTTTTGGTGAAATATTGATTCCAACCTGTACTATACGTATTTCTATTATTGCAACCTACAATATGTAATTCATGATGCAAAATATGAATGTTCATCAAATTACCACGAAAAATAAAAATATTATAAGTCGCAAATCTCAAAAAATGTATGTATAGCATTGAAAAATTGATTTACACCACCTTTGTTTTTCAAAAAAAAAATAAAAAAAATAGCAATATGTGTATGTAACACATGGGACATACAATCTCCGTCATTTATGACTGTCTTATGTACATTTTCTTCAAGAATATATCGACAACATTTCATGAAAATTGCTCTTCAATTTTCTCCTTCTACATCAATGCCCGAGCTGTGATCTCAGGAAGATAAAATTTTAAAGCTAGCAACTTCTTTCAAGGAACCAAATGTTCCTTCTTGCCTTATGGTCAATTGGTAAAAATCCAACTCACCAAAATTCTTCAACTTTGGTATCTTTCATGTCCTGTTATCTTATAGCAGTGCCAACCGCCTCTGCATTTACCACAAATGTAGAATAATAATAACCCTTGCAAAATACCCAAGAACACTCGAGTCCCGATAATCTCAACTCGATAAAACCCATGTCCAGAATGAATGATCTATAATCCTCTCCCAAGTACACAGGTCAAGCTTGTGAAGTTTCGGTTTACGAATTTTCTTCAGAAGTGACTATTTCGTATCTAACAGGTATTGTGTGATCTAAATCATCCTCCAGATCACTAAACGATATGTCTTCTTCATTTCCCTTGACTGACTTGTCCGAATAACCGATAAAGTCCGACATATCCTTCAACCAATCATCATCATCATCTTTATCATCGACATGATCACCACCCTTTGCAATAACTGAACTCAGTATCATCTCCTTCTCCTGGAGTTTGGGTGTTAAATCCTCTTTAATGACCGACTTGTCGACAAATTTGGTTTCGTTGACTGAGTTTTTTTCAATCTCGTTTTCTGGTTCGGAGATATATTCAGGTCGAGCATGCATATATTCGTCAGAATGCATGATGAAATTTTGATGCACGGAGTCTGAAGGCTCTGTACTCACAACCAGACCCGACAACTCCTTGGTCCTTTTCTCTAATTCGTACATCCACATAATCCGTGCTTGAACAAGCTGTAAAAGTCAAATTAACCAAATAGGAACAAATAATGTTATTTCCTTCTGTTTAGTTTAGTAACATAAATTGGGTGGAGGGAACTGAAAAGAGAATGCAGGGAATAAAAAAAACAAATGAACAAGAAGGGTATCCCGTTGAGTTTCATATTACAGTCACCGCACACCAACACTTTTTAAATTGACTCCCCGTAAAGGTAGAGTTTCTATGTTCTAACTTCTAACACACTCAAGTTTATATAATGTTGACTTTCCCCAAGAGGTTTAACCATTTACTACAGTCCTTTTTTCCTGCTAGCCTGATCTCAAAATACAAATTGTAGCCCCTCCAGTTTTAATACGTACACTTGTGGTGTTTACTTCATTAAAAACACAAGAAAAGACTCTTACAGCAAATCACTTTCTGTCACAAAGAAAGCTAATTGTTCTAACGGTAATCCATGTTAGAGTTTGATTTGAAAATAGGTTTGAAGTATTCATGCTCTGTCAATTTGAGAAATTCAAGTAACCTTCAAAGTAGTCTAAAAACAACTTTAGTATGAGCAGCCAATGGATTGCTCATGTGATGGCATTAAAAACCTCACGGTGCTCACTAATTTATAAACAGCAGACAAGGCTATACAATATAAACAATATAATGATTATGTCTGGCTGAATGAGTACAGTAAATGCTTAATCACAATAAAAACTCTCGATGTTAATTACTCACTAACCTGCGATGAGGTCAACAGGTCAGCATCATGTTTACTTAACCTCGAATGCAGAAGAACAAAATAGACCATCCAAAAGTAGCTCTCGCTCATGTGAACCGGACATAGCTCAATTCTTAGAGCAGCTAATCTTGGTGCTAGATGTTCGACTGCCAAAGCATGCTTGTACTGTGCATCAGATATATCGAAATCTGGATCAAGAGAAACAGAAAAAAAGGGAAGATGAGAATTAGACTGAAATCATTATAATATAAACCTACAGCTACAGACCAGCTTCACAGCACACAATGCACAAACTAACTCTTCTTTTTAAGGGAAAAGAACTCACCAAAAGAGCATATCACAAAGGAAAACACTTTTTCTTCTAACCTGCATTGTTGAAACCCATTTTCGAGGTAGAACAAAGACAAACTTTTCACTACCTCTACATCACTTTCACACAGGTTTACTCAAGCAAACGACACACTATCTATCTGTGATGTTAAAATTCAGAAAGCATAAATAAATAGCTCAATTGAAAAATCCCGTCTTCAGCAAAGTCAAACAAGTAGGGCCAAAATCATATGAATTCACAACCAAAATGACAAGAGATCTACGAAATCTAGAAACTGGAAATTTCCCTCACCGTCGAACTCATCTTCCTCCGAAAACGGGAAATCCAACCAGGTCTCCGGGTGATGCGCGATATCCCTAGCGAAGGCTAAAACTTCCTCACTAACCCCAATTGCGCAGTCTACAACATCTGTGTAAAAATCCTCCAACGGACCGAATTTACAAGGCTCTCCCCCGCCTTGCTCCACCAATTCCTCACCCTCACGATCTCCAACACCCGACCTCAGAATTGAAGGCGGCGGGGGAGGAGGAGGAGGAGGAGGAGCCAGAAACGAGGCGACACCCCAGAATTGACGTGCGAGGCTGTCTTTCAATTCCGACAGATCCTCCTTCACCCCACGCCGGTTGTCACCGCCATCAATTTCGTCGTCCCCGCCGCAGCTGCTATGGCAGTCGCCTGACGATCGACGATCGGCGCCGGGCGGGTCTTCCTCCGGGACGGTATCGTGTGGGGCCCTATCCTCCGCGCCGGGCACATCTTCAACTTCGTCGAGGCGGAGAGAATTGGCAATGGAACGAGCCAACCAGGACATGTTCCTACGGCGTCGTTGCACGAGTGAGATTTTGAAAATAGAGATTTTTTTTTTTTTTTGGAGAGGACGATTGATGACGCGATTGAAAACTATAAAATAGTTTATGGAGCCTGGCTCAGTTCCTCCATAGCAAAACCTCTATTAAACATCTATACAAATATGACATAATCTTTTATAAATTATTTATTACATAAATTAAACTACAAAATAGACACAAAAGTAAGATATGAAATCTAATTCTGAAAAGTTGCATAACATAAAACAATGAAATTCCACCGTCAATTATAACTAATACGCACGGGACATAGATATTAAATGAGTTATTTTTACGTTTGAGTCTAAAAAATAATAGGGTTATTATCCATGTTTTACCTCTTTTAATTAATGTTAAGTCTAAAAAACAATAGGGTTATTATAAGTTTTTTTCCACATTTTTTAACCAGCGTTGTTTTTTTAGCCAGAACATTAAATATGAGCATGCTAAGGCTAGCTTGTAAAAAAATTATTATATTATTTCATTAAAATATTTACACTAATAAAAATTTAATTTTAGCATATAAATTTATCTTTTTTTTTTCACGGAACGATAGAGAGATTTTATAAAACGCACAATAGTGCAAAGAGCAGCCACCAACTGATTATAAACAGCCAACAGCTGAATACAAGCAGCCAATAGCTGAAAACGTGGGAGGACAGGTCAAAAGACCGCCTAGAACCGACCCCAACGGGGTAGTACTCAAAAACACTACAAAACACAAAAAAAAAACAACGACATAAAGGCCCCAACAGGGAACTACCCGAGTGTCGGGCTCCAACAAGGTAATAAAGTTGACACTCGGGCTCACAGGGGCCAACGGCCCAAACAAAAAACACAGGACATGGATACACAGGCAAACACCCAGACCAAAAACACATGAACTGACACAAAACAAAAGAACTACTATCTAAAAAACACTGCCTCCCTTAGCAGAATCATCCTAACAATACAGTAGACAAAGCCGCTTCTGAGGACGCCCGCCACTGCAAAAGGCCTAGCAAGACGATGACCCAAGCCTCATAACAATTCGAAAGAACCGACTCGCATCCCGGCCGCAAGAAACCATAATCAACCCCCAACCGTCTAACACCACTAGACAATCCGACACCGTCCCGAACCTGCCTAACACCACTAGCCAAATCCGGAAACGGTCGGCCTCTCACAAGTTCTGGAACAGAGAAATAAGGGGAAGGGGGAGAATGGCGTCAACGCTCTTCCGCATCAACCCAGCCCGAAGGGATGAACCCAGACCGAAACGACCACCAATCCACCCAGCCCGAAAGTACAAACCCCGACCCACAATCCGGTAGAGTCCGAAAATCCACAGCCGGTTTGACCTCCAAGCCCGGCGAGAAGAAACGCCTCGACCAAAGCCCAACCCCAAGCTCTCATCCCAATCACCGAAGTCCAAACCCCCCACCCGCTGCCGCACCAGAGCACCGGTGAACAGAGAAGTGGACAGATCCGGAAGCAAGCCCGTCGGAATTTATGGAAATGGGAGACATTCAGACAAAGGAGCCGCAAGCAACGTGAGTCGCATCCATCCTCTGGTACAACCCTCCACCCACCTCGCTACCAGGAAGCTCCGGCGGTCGGCAGGCACAGATCTACGAAATCCGCGTAGGACCACCATCCTCACCCGACTGTTAGCGAGATGAAGGTAGAGTGCCGCCCATAGAGGCGTAGACGCATGGCGGAGACCAGTCCACCGGCTTGTCGGATGGCCACTGAGAGGGGACAAATCGTCAGCGATGAGGCTAGGGTGTCGAGCTGAGAAGAGGGGATTTTACGGGAGAGAAGAATGCCACTTTATCACGTTAGCTTTGTAAAATTTATCCCTTGATATAAGAGAAAGTAACAATTTTACTTATTGTTGTTCACCATATAATATTAATTATTATTTTATTATATAATAAAAAGAAATACTGTTAAATAGTGTAGTAGAATTGTTATAAAATTATATATATATATATATTTTACAATATGGATTTAATATCTTTTTATGATTTGATAATATAAACAAATCTATACTTAACTTTTGACTTTCCAGTAAAGGTAAAAAAAATCGGTTCTGATTTTTATCTCATAACAAATTTTTAATGTCAAGCTTATAAATACCAAAACAAATCGGTAATTAATGTCGTTCTATTTTCAGCAAGCATTAATTACTTTGACTTTTCTGCCTAGTATTTTTAGTAAATAGGATGGCTTTTTGTATAAGTATAGATGGACAATTTTACTATGAGACTAATAGTTGACTCCATAATAGTTGATTGACTTGGTTGCCATGTATACAAGATTGACTTGAAAAAATACAAATAGTGGATAGAAATAAAAAAAAAAAAAAATCATATTACCTAATTACTTGAAAAAAAACAAATAATTTAATTAGTATTTTTATACTAGTTGAGTATAGAAGATTGATTCCATTTCGAATTCAACTATTAGAAGTTTTTCACAAATAAACTAAATAGAAGTTTACATAAGAGAAAGTTCGTGATATAACAATAAAAAAGGCAATGTTTAGGCAAATTTCTCATTAAAACTCAAAATAAAATACTTCCGTCATATTTTAATAAAATTAATTAAAATGAATAAAAAATATATCTCAAATTACGACGGAACGAGCAAAAAAATTACATTTACATACACGTAAAAATGGCAATGTCAATATTTCAATGGAAATTTTTACGTAATAAACAGTTGGGAAAATATTTAGTTGGATTCATCACATTCCAACTAAAATTCAAATGGAAAACACATTTCAAATAAATATTTTTGTTGCAATCATTTAAAAGGAAGTTGTATCATTGAAATATCAGTTCAAAAATATATTATTATTAGATTTTTTTTGGAATATGACAATTTTTTTGTAGTGTTGGTATTGGGATACCTACGATTGCTATGAAACCATCAAATGACACGTCTTATAGAATTATCCACAATTATTCACAAATAGTGTATTTATATGTACCCTAGAATAAATATACTTTGAACAGGTGCATCAAATTATGAATTGGTCCATAAGAGAGCTGGTTCCATATAATTTATGGGAATACCTAATGTCAAATTTTAAATTCCACCTTATAATTTTCAGTCAAACTCTATTACTTTGTCCTTTCTTATAATTCACAATCAACTTTACATGAGAGAAATTCAGAAGCATTTTCCTCTATGACTAACTTGATAAGGTATGGCATCAATAAAATCCTTGCGTGATTCAGTTTAGCGATCAAAGTTAATTAGATGGATAGTGATTTGGTTCCCCCCAAAGGTGAGTTATCAGTTAAAATTGTATATGAGTACCTCATGCAGAGGTTGGCTTTGGAGGAACCTAGACCCAGTGACTTCAACTCCTCTTCAAAAATGATGTGGAAAACCACTTGGAGCTTGCCAATAAAAGCCAAAATCAAAAACTTCATCTGGAGGTGTTGGTTTAAGTTTTTGAGCACAGGTTTGAAGCTACAACAGAAAAAGTTGGAGTGTGATGAGTGGTGCCATGTGTGTGGGGAGGAAAAGAAGGATCTAGAACACATTTTGTTCTACTGTAGTAGAGCAAAAATCTGCTGACAGTTGGTTGGAGTTGAATGGGACAGATTGGGTGAGACAAAGACATCATTTCAAAACCGGTGGTTTGAGATATGTGTAAGGAAGAAGGGCTATGGTATCATTGACAGAATTAGTCTTTCATGCTACCTTATGTGGTGGTTATGGAAGACTAGGAATGGCTGGCTGTTTGTAACGCCCCAAAACAGTAATAATATTCAGAACGATTTCACTGCTCGACTATAAGTGAAATCTGTAATTTTTAGAAATTATCGAGTTATATTATTTATGCTAAATGCTCAAACATGATAAATTATTCTTTGAATAATTCTATCTCAAGTATAAGTTAAGATTAATCCATTAATTTGGGTTGATAAATAATAGCATGTCAATTCGAGAATTTATCGACTCCGAACCCTAGTTTGGTTCCGAGTAAATTTTCAGGTAAATTCCGAGCATGGCCAAGCATTGGTATTTTTATACTTAGAATATTTTTCTAAGTGTATAATAATATCAAAGTATAAGTATTGATCTTTTTAACCGAGCCCTAGTCCTTACCCGGGCCGCTCGTGCCGAGTCCCGCACCCGCGCCTCGAGCCGCACCCGGGAACGTGCCACCGAGCCCAAGGGCATGTCCCCATGCCTTAACATCACTTTGCAAATTTTTTCTAAGTGTTGGGGAGCCATTTCAAACCATTTTACTTGGCCCAAGCCCTTTTTCCCGCGAGCAGCCCTCACCCGCGCAGCCCAGCACGCGCCCTCGCGCCAGCCCGTGCCAGCCCAGCGCCCAGGCCTAGTGCCGCGCCCAGGGCCAGCGCCCAGGCCCAGCGCTGGCAGCGGGACAGTCCAACATTTTGAGCCCATTTCATATGTTTTCGGCCCAAATCCTCCATGACCCAACTCATGCGGTTATTAAGGACTTAATAAGGGTTAGATTAAGCTAATTTGGCCCTAAGCATTGTTAAGGGAAAGTCAACACATCATTTGCCAAAGTGAAGCATGTGCACACATTAGTTTATTCAAGTATTTTTGTCCTTGTCCCCCATGCAACCTCCAAACCTGACCTGACCTCTCCATTATGATATTATACTCTGAAAATGGTCTCTAAGACCGTGCAACACTCAACCCCCAAGACCACTATGTCCCCACACTTTAAAAAAATGGGAACTTCACACCATTAGCCTAGTTATATCCGCCCATCACCCTATTTAAGCCCCTAATCCGTTTTGATGATGGCTCTTGCACATTTTGACATTTTAAGACTTAGAGAGTTCAGCAAAAATAGAGAGAAGAGAGTCCAAGGCCGAGAGCCCCTACCCGCAGCTCCTTGCGCGCGTGTAGTCCCGGGGGAGTGCCACACCACGCCTCAGCCATCTCCAAGCATAATCTCTCGTGGCTTATCACTATCCAAGTGTTTCTTGGATTTTTATAAGTCATTTGAGTACACCAAGCTCGGCCATAACCATCTCCAAGTCA